TTCACCCTAAAATATCCCTTATTTTCATAGAAATCCCTGTTTTTACCCTAAAATATCCCTTATTTTCATAGAAATCCCTTTGTTTTTCCCCTGGAATATCGCTTAATTTCCTAGAAATCCCTGTTTTTCCCCTTAAATATCGCTGATTTTCATAGAAATCCCTGTTTTTCCCCTAAAATATCGCTTATTTTCATAGAAATCCCTGTTTTTCCCCTTAAAAATATCGCTTATTTTCACAGAAATCCCTGTTTTACCCCTAAAATATCGCTTATTTTCATAGTAATGCCTGATTTTAACCCTAAAATATCAATTATTTTCCTACAAATCCCTGTTTTTCCCCTAAAATATCGCTTATTTTCATAGAAATCCCTGTTTTTCCCCTTAAATATCGCTTATTTTCACAGAAATCCCTGTTTTTCCCCTAAAATATCGCTTATTTTCACAGAAATCCCTGTTTTTCCACTAAAATATCCCTTATTTTCATAGAAATCCATGTTTTTCAACTAAAATATCACTTATTTTCATCGAAATCCCTGTTCTTCCACTAAAATATCGCTTATTTTCATAGAAATCCCTGTTTTTCCCCTAAAATATCGCTTATTTTCCTAGAAATCCCTGTTCCTCAACTAAAATACCGCTTAATTTCACAGAAATCCCTGTTTGTAACCCTAAAATATCGCTTATTTTCACAGAAATCCCTGTTTTTCCCCTAAAATATCGCTTATTTTCCTAGAAATCCCTGTTTTTCAACTAAAATATCACTTATTTTCATCGAAATCCCTGTTTTTAACATAAAATATCGCTTATTTTCGTTGAAATCCCTGTTTTTCCCCTAAAATATTGCTTATTTTCATAGAAATCCCTGTTTTTCCCCTAAAATATCGCTTATTTTCCTAGAAATCCCTGTTTTTAACATAAAATATCGCTTATTTTCATAGAAATCCCTGTTTTTCCCCTAAAATATCGCTTATTTTCACAGAAATCCCTGTTTTTAACCCTAAAATATCCCTTATTTTCACAGAAATCCCTGTTTTTAACCTTATAAATATCGCTTATTTTCACAGAAATCCCTGTTTTTCCCCTAAAATATTGCTTATTTTCATAGAAATCCCTGTTTTTCCCCTAAAATATCCCTTATTTTCATGGAAATCCCTGTTTTCCCCTAAAATATCGCTTATTTTCACAGAAATCAGTGTTCTTCCCATAAAATATCGCTTATTTTCACAGAAATCCCTGTTTTTCAACTAAAATATCGATTATTTTCATCGAAATCCCTGTTTTTCCCCTAAAATATCCCTTATTTTCACAGAAATCCCTGTTTTTCCCCTAAAATATCGCTTATTTTCATAGAAATCCCTGTTTTTCCCCTAAAATATCCCTTATTTTCATAGAAATCCCTGTTTTCCCCTAAAATGTCGCTTATTTTCACAGAAGTCCCTGTTTTTCCCCTAAAATATCGCTTATTTTCACAGAAATCCCTGTTTTTCACCCTAAAATATCGCTTATTTTCACAGAAATCCCTGTTTTTCCCCTGAAATATCGCTTATTTTCATAGAAATCCCTGTTTTCCCCTAAAATATCGCTTATTTTCACAGAAATCAGTGTTCTTCCCATAAAATATCGCTTATTTTCATTGAAATCCCTGTTTTCACCCTAAATATCGCTTATTTTCATAGAAATCCCTGTTTTTTCCTATTAAATACCGCTTGTTTTCAGAGAAATCCCTGTTTTTTCCTATTAAATACCGCTTGTTTTCAGAGAAATCCCTGTTTTTCCCATAAAATATCGCTTATTTTCCATGAAATCCCTGTTTTTCCCCTAAAATATCACTTATTTTCACAGAAATCCCTGTTTTTCCCATAAAATACCGCTTATTTTCATAGAAATCCCTGTTTTTCCCCTAAAATATAGCATATTTTCACATAAATCCCTGTACTTCCCCTTAAATATCGCTTATTTTAATAGAAATCCCTGTTTTTAACGATAAAATATCAATTATTTTCATAGAAATCCCTGTTTTTCAACTAAAATATCGCTTATTTTCACAGAAATCTTTGTTTTTCCCCTAAAATATCCCTTATTTTCATAGAAATCCCTGTTTTTCCCCTAAAATATCGCTTATTTTCATAGAAATCCCTGTTTTTCCCCTAAAATATCGCTTATTTTCACAGAAATCCCTGTTTTTCCCCTAAAATATCGCTTATTTTCATAGAAATCCCTGTTTTTCAACTAAAATATCGCTTATTTTCATAGAAATCCCTGTTTTTCCCCTTAAAAATATCCCTTATTTTCATCAAAATCCCTGTTTTTCCCCTAAAATATCGCTTATTTTCATAGAAATCCCTGTTTTTCCGCTAAAATATCGCTTATTTTCACAGAAATCCCTGTTTTACCCCTAAAATATCGCTTATTTTCACAGAAATCAATGTTCTTCCCATAAAATATCGCTTATTTTCATTGAAATCCCTGTTTTTAACCTAAAATATCGCTTATTTTCATGGAAATCCCTGTTTTTCACCCTAAAATATCGCTTATTTTCCTAGAAATCCCTGTTTTTTCCCATTAAATACCGCTTATTTTCACAGAAATCCCTGTTTTTCCCTTAAAATATCGCTTATTTTCCTAGAAATCCCTGTTCCTCCCCTATAATATCGCTTAATTTCACAGAAATCCCTGTGTTTCCCCTAAAATATTGCTTATTTTCACAGAAATCCATGTTTTTACCCCTAAAATATCGCTGATTTTCATAGTAATGCCTGATTTTAACCCTAAAATATCAATTATTTTCACAGAAATCCCTGTTTTTCCCCTGAAATATCGCTTATTTTCACATAAATTCCTGTGTTTCCCCTAAGATATCGCTTATTTTCACAGAAATACCTGTTTTTAACATAAAATATCGCTTATTTTCATAGAAATCCCTGTTTTTCCCCTGAAATATTGCTTATTTTCACAGAAATCCCTTGTTTTCCCCTAAAATATCGCTTATTTTCCATGAAATCCCTGTTTTTCCCCTAAAACATCGCTTATTTTCCTAGAAATCCCTGTTTTTCCCCTAAAATATCCCTTATTTTCCATGAAATCCCTGTTTTTAACCTTGAATATCGCTTATTTTCACAGAAATCCCTGTTTTTCTCCTAAAATATCGCTTATTTTCATAGAAATCCCTGTTTTTCAACTGAAAATATCACTTATTTTAATCGAAATCCCTGTGTTTCCCCTAAAATATCGCTTATTTTCCTTCAAATCCCTGCTTTTTCCCCTAAAATATCGCTTATTTTCCTAGAAATCCCTGTTTTTCCCCTAAAATATCCCTAATTTTCATAGAAATCCCTGTTTTTCACCCTAAAATATCCCTTATTTTCATAGAAATCCCTGTTTTTCACCCTAAAATATCCCTTATTTTCATAGAAATCTTTGTTCTTCCCCTGTAATATCGCTTAATTTCCTAGAAATCCCTGTTTTTCCCCTTAAATATCGCTGATTTTCATAGAAATCCCTGTTTTTCCCCTTAAAAATATCGCTTATTTTCATAGAAATCCCTGTTTTTCCCCTTAAAAATATCGCTTATTTTCACAGAAATCCCTGTTTTTCCCCTAAAATATCGCTTATTTTCATAGTAATGCCTGATTTTAACCCTAAAATATCAATTATTTTCACAGAAATCCCTGTTTTTAACCTTGAATATCGCTTATTTTCATAGAAATCCCTGTTTTTCCCCTTAAATATCGCTTATTTTCACAGAAATCCCTGTTTTTAACCTTAAATATTGCTTATTTTCACAGAAATCCCTGTTTTCACCTAAAATATCGCTTATTTTCACAGAAATCCCTGTTTTTCCCATAAAATATCGCTAATTTTCCTAGAAATCCCTGTTTTTAACCCTAAAATATCGCTTATTTTCACAGAAATCCCTGTTTATCCCCTAAAATATCCCTTATTTTCACAGAAATCCCTGTTTTTCCCCTAAAATATCGCTTATTTTCCTAGAAATCCCTGTTTTTTCCCCTAAAATACCGCTTACTTTCATACAAATCCCTGTTCTTAACCCTAAATATGGCTAATTTTCATGAAAATCCCTGTTTTTCCCCTAAAATATCGCTTATTTTCATAGAAATCCCTGTTTTTCCCCTAAAATATCACTTATTTTCATGGAAATCCCTGTTTTTAGCACTAAAATATCACTTATTTTCATCGAAATCCCTGTTTTTCCCCTAAAATATCGCTTATTTTCATTGAAATCCCTGTTTTCAACCCTAAAATATTGCTTAATTTCACAGAAATCCCTGTTTTTCCCCTTAAAAATATCACTTTTTTTCACAGAACTCCCTGTTTTTCAACTAAAATATTGCTTATTTATATGGAATTCCCTGTTTTTAATCCTAAAATATCGCTTATTTTCATTGAAATCCCTGTTTTCAACCCTAAAATATTGCTTAATTTCACAGAAATCCCTGTTTTTCCCCTTAAATATCGCTTATTTTCATAGAAATCCCTGTTTTTCCCCTTAAAAATATTGCTTATTTTCACAGAAATCCCTGTTTTTAACCCTTAAATATCGCTTATTTTCATAGAAATCCTTGTTTCTAACCCTAAAATATCAATTATTTTCACGGAAATCCCTGTTTTTCCCCTTAAATATCACTTATTTTCATAGAAATCCCTGTTTTTAACCTCAAACATCACTTATTTTCACATAAATTTCTGTTTTTCTCTAAAATATCGCTTATTTTCTTAGAAATCCCTCTTTTTAACCTCAAACATCACTTATTTCCAAGAAATCCCTGTTTTTCCCCTCAATTATTGCTTATTTTCATAGAAATCCCTGTTTTTCAACTAAAATATTGCTTATTTTCATGGAAATCCCTGTTTTTAGCCTAAAATGTCACTTGTTTTCAAAGGCGTCACTTACCCGACTCCAAGAATCAGGGTGCAGACATTACAGCAACTGAGCGGGTGTCAAAAGGCGAACAGCATCTGGCAGGGTACATGGCAAATGGGGAAAGCATGAAGATACCTTTATGTCCAGGAACGCCCACACCTTTACCAGGAACAGGACATGCTCTCTGCGGAACCTTGGACCTCCCAAAATGCCTGCTACTTCTGGTGGTGGAGTCGCCAATCCTACAAAGAAAGAAGAAAGCCTCACACGCCGTCCTCAACAAAGTGGGCTAGAAAAGAAAGGTGGGCATTGGACAAACCCCAAGACGAGGACAGCACTCAGCAGAAGCCTGTTTAGGAGACACCTCTTTTTTTGGCACCTCACTTGGTCACAAGTGGGCCTGGGGGTCATGGGAACTCCAGCGAAGCACCGCCAGGCAACATGGAAAAAAGAGAAGTGAAGCAGAACACAAGTGTAGCAAATACTACAGGAGCCAAAATGAATTGAACCTGCCATTTATTGAGAGCAAAAAGAAAAAAAAGAAGAGAGACAGAATGAAAGTGTAGCAAATGCTATGGAAACCAAAAGGAATCGAACCTACCTTTTGTTGAGAGGAGCAGGTGGCACTGACATCCCATCAGCACTGGGCAGAGCTGAGCATGGGGAGAGGAACAACACCCGGTGACAGCAACATGAGCACGAGGGACAAGCGACACCAATCCCCAAAGGACCTGAGCGAGCGTGTGAAACAGGAGACGGCAGGGATCCAGGTACCTTGGCGCAGAGCCTCAGGAGCGGACCCTGGCATCCACCAGCGGCTGTGCTTTCCTGCTGCATCCAACAAAGTCTTTCTCGCAGTCCTCACGCTGCTTAGAAGAGCAAGCCATGTCCGGAACCTCAAGCCGAACAGAATGCGACGAGCAAGGAGCTGGGCATCAATCTCAAGGCCAACAAGTCGGTCCCTCCCAAACCTCACTGCTCACCCAACCTCACTGACACCAGAAGCCCAGGCACACATGTGAGCCCTGCGATTCCCAGCCCTTACATGAGCTCAGGCTGGGCTCTGGCTCCACCCACTCCCACCCCCGGCTTCATCGCACCCACCTGGGCTTCCACCCTGCTGCTGCCATCCTGCACCAGCTTGTCCATCATTCCTTCACTCTCTTCTGTAACAGGATGAGAGGGAAGAAAGGAGAGAGAGCAAAGAGGAAAAAGGGAATAGGGGACAGCAGAGAACAAAAAAAAGGGGGGGTGGGGAAAAAAGGGGAAAAATGGGGTACAGGGACAGAAGAAAGGGAACGTGAGGTGGGGGGGAAGCAGAGCTGGGGATGAAGAAGAGGAAAGGGGAAAAAAGAACAGGAGAATGTGAAGAGAAATAAGGCTGAGGGGAGAAAAAGGGGTCAAAGAGTGCAAGAAGAGATGAGGGAAGGCGGGGAAAAGGCGGGATAGCAGGAAGTGCATGAGAAGGACAAAAGGAAAAACGAGGGAGGAAAAAAAGGAAAAGGGGGGCAAGGGAGGAAAAAGGGAAAAGTGGGACGAATTAGGAAAACAGAAAAAGGGGGAGGAGGGTGGAATCAGGGCCGTCGCACTCAGCAGCGCTGTCCTGCTGCTGTGCCATTAATTTCTCTGGGATCCTGTACCCGTGGATCGGTGCCACCTGCCTTCGGGAATGGCAAAACTGGAGCCTTAGGGGGCGACACAGAACCCCAAAAGACCACTCTTCACCAAGGTTTGGATTACAGCCTTATCAGAGGCTATAAGGGGCTGGCGGAGGTGGGACGGCGCTGCCGATAACCAATGAGAGAGTGGCTGGGATGGGACAGCGCTGCCGATGACCAATGAGAGGCACACGGGGGCGGCACAGTGCTGTCGATGACCAATGAGTGGCACACAGGGGCGGGATGCTTCCACCGATGACCAATAAGACGCTGGCAGGGGCGGAACGGTGCTGCCGATGACCAATAAGATGCTGGCAAGGGCGGGACGGCACTGCCGATGACCAATGAGAGACTGGCCGGGGAGGGATGGCGTTGCAAATGACCAATGAGAGTCTGGCAAGGGCAGAAAGGCGCTGCCGACGACCAATAAGACACTGGTGGGGTCGAGACTGCACTGCCGATGACTAATAAGACGCTGACGAGGGCGGGACGGCGCTGCCGATGACCAATAAGATGCTGGCGAGGGTGGGACTGCGCTGCCGATGACCAATGAGAGGCCGGCAGGGGCGGGACGGCGCTGCCACTGACCAATGAGAGGCTGGTGGGGGTAGGACGGTGCTGCCGATGACCATTGAGAGGCTGGCGAGGGCGGAATGGCACCACCGATGACCAATAAGACGGTGGCGGAGGCGGGATGGCGTTGCCATTGACCAATGAGAGTCTGGCGAGTATGGGACAGTGCTGCCAATGACCAATAAGGTGCTGGCAAGGACGGGACAGCGCTGCTGATGACCAATAAAATGCTGGTGAGGGCGGGTCGGTGCTGCCGATCACCAGTGAGAGGCTGGTGAGGGCGGCACAGCGCTGTCACTGACCAATGATAGGCTGGCAGGGGCAGGACGGAGCAGCCGCTGACCAATGAGAGGCTGGCGGAGGCGGGACGGCGATGCCACTGACCAATGAGAGGCTGGCAAGGGCAGGACGGCGCTACCGATGACCAATGAGAGGCTGGTGAGTGCGGGACGGTGCTGCCACTGACCAATGATAGTCTGGCAGGGGCAGGACGGAGCAGCCGCTGACCAATGAGAGGCTGGCGGAGGCGGGACGGCGATTCCACTGACCAATGATAGGCTGGCAGGGGCGGGATGGCGTTGCCAATGACCAATGAGAGGCTGGCAAGGGCAGGACGGCGCTACCGATGACCAATGAGAGGCTGGTGAGTGCGGGACGGTACTGCCACTGACCAATGATAGTCTGGCAGGGGCAGGATGGAGCAGCCGCTGACCAATGAGAGGCTGGTGGGGGTAGGACGGCGCTGCCGATGACCATTGAGAGGCTGGCGGAGGCGGGTCAGTGCAGCTGATGACCAATGAGAGGCTCGCGAGGGCAGGATGGCGCTGCCGATGACCAATAATACGGTGGCGAAGGCGAGACGGCGTTGCCATTGACCAATGAGAGTCTGTCGGGTATGGGACAGTGCTGCCAATGTCCAATGAGAGGCTGGTGGGGGCGGGACGGCGCTGCCGATGACCAATAAGACGCTGACGAGGGCGGGATTGCATTGTCAATGACCAATGAGAGTCTGGCTAGTATGGGACAGTGCTGCCAATGACCAATGAGAGGCTGGCAAGGGCAGGACGGCGCTGCCGATGACCAATAGGACACTGGCAGGGGCGAGACTGCGCTGCCGATGACCAATAAGACGCTGACAAGGGAGGGACGGTGCTGCTGATGACCAAGAAGAGGCTCGCGAGTGAGGGATATAGCCGCCGATGACCAATAAGACGCTGGCGGAGGTGGGACGGCATTGCCCATGGCCAATGAGAGACTGTCGAGGGCGATACAGTGCTGCCAATGACCAACGAGAGGCTTGCAGGGGCGGGACTGTGTTGCCCATGACCAATAAGATGCTGGCAAGGGCGGGACAGCGCTGCCGATGATCAATGAGATGCTGGCGAGGGCGGGATTGCATTGCCAATGACCAGTGAGAGTCTGGCGAGTATGGGACAGTGCTGCCAATGACCAATGAGATGCTGGCAAGGGCAGAACGACCCTACCGATGACCAATAAGACGCTGGCGAGGGCGGGACGGTCCTGCCGATGACCAAAGAGAGGCTGGGGGGGGGGGAGACGGAGCAGCCACTGACCAGTGAGAGGCTGGCGGAGGCGGGACAGTGCTGCCGATGACCAATGAGAGGCTCGTGAGTGAGGGATGGAGCTGCCGATGACCAATAAGACGCTGGCGGAGGTGGGACGACATTGCCCATGGCCAATGAAACACTGTCGAGGGCGGTGCAGTGCTGCCAATGACCAAAGAGAGGCTTCCAGGGGCGGGACTGTGCTGCCGATGACCAATGAGAGGCTGGTAAGGGCAGAACGGCGCTGCCACTGACCAATTTTAGGCTGGCAGGGGCGGGATGGCGTTGCCAATGACCAATGAGAGGCTGGCAAGGGCAGGACGGAGCAGCCGATGACCAATGAGAGGGTGGCGGAGGCAGGACAGTGCTGCCGATGGCCAATGAGAGGCTCGCGTGAGGGCGGGATGGTGCCGCCGATGACCAATAATACGGTGGCGGAGGCGGGACAGCGTTGCCATTGACCAATGAGAGTCTGGTGAGTATGGGACAGTGCTGCCAATGAGCAATGAGAGGCTGGAGTGGGCGGGACGGCGCTGCCACTAACCAATGATAGACTGGCAGGGGCGGGATGACGTTGCCGATGATCAATGAGAGGCTCATAAGGGTGGGATGGCGCTGCCTATGGCCAATGAGAGGCTGGTGTGGGCGGGACGGAGCAGCCGCCTACCAAAGAGAGGCTGGCGGGGGCGGGACGGTACTGCCGATGAGCAATGAGAGGATGATGGGAGCGGGACAGCGCGGTTGTTGACCAATGAGAGACTGACGGGGGCGGGACGGAGCAGCCGATGACCAATAAGATGATGGTGAGGGCGGGACTGTGCTGCTGATGAACAATGAGAGGCTGGTGGGGGCGGGATTGCATTGCCAGTGACCAGTGAGAGGGTGGCGGAGGCGGGGCAGTGCTGCCGATGACCAATGAGAGGCTCGCGAGTGAGGGATGGAGCCGCCGATGACCAATAAGACGCTGGCGGAGGTGGGACGGCGTTGCCCATGGCCAATGAAAGACTGTCGAGGGCGGGACAGAGCTGCCAATGACCAATGAGAGGCTTGCAGGGGCGGGACTGTTCTGCCGATGACCAATAAGATGCTGGCAAGCGTGGGACAGCGCTGCCGATGACCAATTTTAGGCTGGCGAGGGTGGGATTGCATTGCCAACGACCAGTGAGAGTCTGGCGAGTATGGGACACTGCTGCCAATGACCAATGAGATGCTGGCATGGGCAGGACGGCGCTACCGATGACCAATGAGAGGCTGGTGAGTGTGGGACGGTGCTGCCACTGACCAATGATAGTCTGGCAGGGGCAGGATGGAGCAGCTGCTGACCAATGAGAGGCTGGTGGGGGTAGGACGGCGCTGCCGATGACCATTGAGAGGCTGGCGGAGGCGGGTCAGTGCAGCTGATGACCAATGAGAGGCTCGCGAGGGCGGGATGGCGCTGCCGATGACCAATAATACGGTGGCGGAGGCCGGACGTCGTTGCCATTGACCAATGAGAGTCTGGCGAGTATGGTACAAAGCTGCAAATGACCAATGAGAGGCTGGAGTGGGCAGGACGGTGCTGCCGATGACCAATAAGACGCTGACAAGGGCGGGATTGCATTGTCAATGACCAATGAGAGTCTGGCTAGTATGGGACAGTGCTGCCAATGACCAATGAGAGGCTGGCAAGGGCAGGACGGTGCTGCCGATGACCAATAAGACGCTGACAAGGGAGGGATGGTGCTGCTGATGACCAAGAAGAGGCTCGCGAGTGAGGGATATAGCCGCCGATGACCAATAAGACGCTGGCGGAGGTGGGACGGCATTGCCCATGGCCAATGAGAGACTGTCGAGGGCGATACAGTGCTGCCAATGACCAACGAGAGGCTTGCAGGGGCGGGACTGTGTTGCCCATGACCAATAAGATGCTGGCAAGGGCGGGAAAGCGCTGCCGATGATCAATGAGATGCTGGCGAGGGCGGGATTGCATTGCCAATGACCAGTGAGAGTCTGGCGAGTATGGGACAGTGCTGCCAATGACCAATGAGATGCTGGCAAGGGCAGAACGACCCTACCGATGACCAATAAGACGCTGGCGAGGGCGGGACGGTCCTGCCGATGACCAAAGAGAGGCTGGTGGGGGGGAGACGGAGCAGCCACTGACCAGTGAGAGGCTGGCGGAGGCGGGACAGTGCTGCCGATGACCAATGAGAGGCTCGTGAGTGAGGGATGGAGCTGCCGATGTCCAATAAGACGCTGGCGGAGGTGGGACGACGCTGCCCATGGCCAATGAAACACTGTCGAGGGCGGTGCAGTGCTGCCAATGACCAATGAGAAGCTTGCAAGGGCGGGACTGTGCTGCCGATGACCAATGAGAGGCTAGTAAGGGCAGAACGGCGCTGCCACTGACCAATTTTAGGCTGGCAGGGGCGGGATGGCGTTGCCAATGACCAATGAGAGGCTGGCAAGGGCAGGAC